CAAAATAAATTGAATTGAATTGATAACATATTTACCGAGTCCGTTTGTAATTTCATTGTAGACAACGAACCACCCAAACTCCAGTGTCCACAGAAAACATCTAACTACTATACAACGAACTACGGCAGTATAATTTATGCCACCACCGACGACGGAAGCCCTAATGGCACTATAACATGGACTCCACTGGTTGCTGAGGATAATAGTGGAATCCCTCCTACTATCACAAATTTCCCTTATGAGCCTGGTGAGGTGTTCTCAATGAATGGATTTCCACCATACACGACAACAATAAGAGCAACCGACGAATCGGGAAACTCAAAAGAATGTCAGATTCATTTTGTTGTTGTTGGTATGCACAAGCTATGCTAGTTTTTCTGTTCAATTAATAATGTTAGCATATTGTATGAAATCTTGTTTCCTTCGTTTCCTACCAGTCTCATTTTGAATAAAAATTGTGATTATGAATATGATTACGAATAACATTTTTTTTCTTCGAAATTATAATGCCAATGATCAATAGTCTACTCTATTAGCGTTTATTGATATTCACAAAACTTTAATCCCAAATATATTATGTTTTCAACTCTTTTTCGCCTTTATTCGATTTAATAACAAACGCAACGTACTTTGGAAAGATTAATTGCATAATGTAGATATAAGTATACAATCGTTTTATTTTGATTAAAAATATCTAAAATTTAACAATATTCAACACTAATTTTATTATTTAAAAAAAATATTAATTGCCTTCTCTATGTTCATTATACCTTTTACATCGTTTTTAATTATTGTTGCGGAATCAAGGGTATTGTATTTTATCATAGACATTGAAAGTCCTGTTGTAACTTGTCCATCACACTCGAACAACTTTGTTGCAAATTAATAATGCTAGCATATTGTACGATATCTTATTCTCTTCGTTTCTTACCAGTCCCATTTGAATTAAAAATTGTGATTATGATTTTGACTAGGCATAATACCAAGGATCAATAATCTACTCTATTGGCATTTATCGATACTCCACGAAACTTTAGTCCTAAAAACATAGTTTTAACTCTTTTTTTCTCCTTCGTTTGACTTAATGACGAATACAGCGTAACTTGGACAGAATAATTGTATATGTAGATATGAGTTTACAATCTGTTTTTTTTTTAATTCAAAAATATCTAAAAGGTTATAAATAATCCCCATTATTTTATTTTGAACTATTTATAGTATTCTGCATTTTTATTTTACCGTTTACATTGTTTTATATTATTTTTACGGAATAAGAAATATTTTCTTTTATCATAGACATTGAAAGTCCTGTTGTAATTTGTCCATCATACTCGAACAACTTTGTTGCAAGATCATCGGAATCTTCTTGGTCAGTGTTCACTGACGGAGAATCCAGATCTGCTCGCTTATATTGGTCACCAGCCAATGCTACCGACAACACTGGCACTGTGGTGTCTGTTTATTCGAATCATAATCCCGGTGACGTATTTCCGCTCAGTAGTGTAGCCCATCAAATAACGTACACAGCAATTGATGGAGACAATAATGTGGGGAATTGCTCATTCTTTATAACTGTTAAAGGTTTGTCAATCTTTATTTGCTCTTTACCATAGCTTTTTTCCCTTTTGTGGAGTTACCACACATCTATTTCATTTATCAATAGGCTTATACCTTTTCCATACATCTTTATCTGAGAACAATGTCAGAACATTAAATTAATAAGTTGTAAGTAATGGGTAGGCCTAGTCTCCCTATATATATACTGTCTCTTATACACATCTAGATGTGTATAAGAGACAGCTCCAAAGGAGAGCTGAAGGGTATTGCAATAGCGCGCGTCTATGTGTCTCTCTCTCAGTCTGTCGGTCTGTCTGCACGTCCTTCCAGGCGCATAACTTAAAAACTACTAGACCGATTTACTTCAAGTTTTAACACATGGACAATGTTACATGTATATTGGTCCACAACAAATTTGCTGCTGATCATTGGAAGTAAGATATTACTGCGTAGCACCGTAAACACAATAAATAGATAAATAAATAAATAATAATAATAACAGTGCTCAAATAGGAACATGTTTAAATACTCGTATCAAGCTTAGCTCATCAACTTGATTCGAATTTTATTTAGTATGATTTCCCAGCCGTGACCTATAAGATGTTCTAGCTTAACCACAGCTCCACTATGTGTGGACGTTTATTTGTCAGTTGTATGACAGGAAGAAGACTCTGGGGTTAGAACTGCTGTCTCTTATACACATCTAGATGTGTATAAGAGACAGCTCTAAATTCGAGGAACAGTGAAATCTATTGCCCGTCAGTGATGTGGAGACTGTAATCTATCTTCACTTGGGCCGAAGACTACGGCCTTCACATCACCTCAGAGAAATAGATTTCAACATTCCCCTCAGGAGCAGTCAATATTTGTATATTTAATACATCACTGCAAATTTGATTTACTATTATTATTATATTGAAATGAAAATACCCTGTTAATATAGAACAGCAAAGAGGGGGTGACAACGCTAACTAGAATATCCACCACTGGATTGGACAATTAGATCCTTCTTAAGCTAGATGTATATTAGACACGATAACGACATATCATCGCGTAGTTTGTATTCTTTAACGCTGGGCGCAATATGTGGCGTAGTGTCGTAATCGTGTCTGTGTAAATGTAGCTTAAATAGTGGGGAATGGGTCGATATCTTATTCCAATTCTGATTCCTGTTCCTGCTTGTCGTGAGTGAATCTGATACCTAGCTTGGATTGTTTACGTACCCTACTCTGCAATGTATGTTTTGTTCGAATTATACACAGCTAATGGAGGGTGAGTTGTGATTGTTTATTAAATTCTAATTAAAGTGGCCAAAGAGTAAATTTAGTATTGCAGTCTCCTGTCTATCTTTATTGTTTTTCCTGAAGTCGGTGAGGTACACTTGCTGCCGGACCACTACGCTCCGGCGCCCTGAACCAACGTTGCATAACTGTTGAAACGTTGTATTTATCAAAACTCTAGGATAATAAACGATTTGTTGTGTATTTGGCGAAATATCTTGAAGACTTGTTTTGTAATTATACAAATTACATGATTTTCTTGTCTAGAATTGGAAAATCCGTCAGTCAAATGCCCCTCTCATTTACAAGTTTACACGGATGATGGATCAAGATTCGCTTTTCTGTCATGGAACATCACGCTCAATGATAATTTTGCAGTCGTTCATTATATGTCCAACGACTCCCGTGTTGTGCCTGATTATCTTACGCTAAATCACACAAGTATCACTTTAGCACAGAATGGCTCCTTTTCTATTGGTACAAATCTGGTTGAATATGTGGCGACTGATATGTCTGGAAACATAGGAAAATGCTTGCTTACAATCACTGTCACAGGTAAGGTTACTGCTGAAATTTTGTACTGTATTTTTTTTTTTAAACCCACTTGAATTAATGACATCCTTAATCCAGGGGGACGTTAAGCCGTCGGTCTCTAACAAAGAAATCGATAATAATGTGTAATTGCTGTCTCTTATACACATCTAGATGTGTATAAGAGACAGATGTAGTGTTTTGTAACGCTGTCTCTTATACACATCTAGATGTGTATAAGAGACAGGTGTGTGTGTGTGTGTGTTTGATAATAGATATACATCATCTCATTTACCTATTTGTCTATATATGGTGCAACACAGCATATTATGATATATATATATATATGTATATATATATATATATACATATATATACATATATATATCTATATATATATATATATATTCTTCTTTTCTGTCTCATTTCAGACAATGAAAGACCGTCGATAACTTGTCCCAGTAGTATTTCAAATTATTATGACCATATATTTGCTTTCCATCGCCTTGTTGCTGATTACGGTCGGCCCTACGCAACGGTCACATGGTCTCCTCCAGAATATTACGACAACAGTCAAGAGTCTGTCAAGTGGGAAAGCTTTCCGTATACATCAGGTGATACATTTCGTCTCCAACAGTTCCCGCCTTACAATGTAAAATTTACTGCATCAGATATGTTTGGCAATAACAGATCCTGCGACATATATTTTACAGTAATAGGTAAGCAATTTATGACCAAAGTCATATGGCTAAACATAACCTTTATGCCCATCTACTTCATTCAATATATATAATTGAGAAAGTCAAATATTGAATATTATTGTCGCTACCTCTTCAAAACGGAATAATATAATATTATTATATCCACGTTCAATCAGTTTTATCCATTTTCTTTGCGGTTATTCATTCACGTAACTTAGTATATTATTTATATTATTTTTTTTTACTATTCAGACATTGAAGCACCTAATATCACGTGTCCAACAAACATTACAAACTACTACGACACATACTACGGCATTATCAGGGCTGCACTTGATCCGGGTTCTTCTACGAGCACAGTCACTTGGGATGCTCCTACTGTATCTGACAACAGTGGACGTCACGTGAATGTGACGTCATCGTACCAATCTGGTGATAGTTTTCCGCCTAGATTCTATCCACCATATGAAGTGGAGTACATTGCTGAAGACGAGTCGGGAAACAAGAATTCCTGCAAATTTTACTTTCTCGTCACAGGCAAGTTTTCTAGTGGCTTACTAAACTAAGATTTTAACAATTAACTGGTAGGCATCTCCTGTTGTCTGTGACATCCTATTAGGTTGTTTTGGAAAAATCAAGTATTTCATAGAACAGTCGATTGTGTACCTTTTAACTAACAAAATATTATCTACACTACTTTTCTCTTTGTCTATTTTAGTGAATTTAGTAGCATTCCACAGTAGGCCGCTACGTGGACTATCGTACTATGACTTTTAACTTGGGTCAGTTTTGTTAAATGAATGATTAAGTGTATTGTTATCAATATCGTTATAAAACACTATGCAACATGATTATAATTACTCCGTCACTTGTTACTAAAAGCAAAATGATTGTGTGAAATTTATTTTTTTTTAAGCAGTTAGCAGCATTCAATAAATGAATCGCATAAATTTTAAAAGATTAGCATGTTCTAGTTAGTTTTGAAGATATAGTGTCTGCAAAAACCTCTGAAAACCCTAAAAAATTAAATTCAGTTATTATTTAAACCAACCCGAAAAAAAAACAACAAAAAAAATGTTTCACTTCAAAATTGCTTAAATTGATTACCAGCAAATGTAATGGCCTCTGCAGTCGAATAGATATTATTTAATTTTCCGATATTTTTTCATTCATATTTTTAATTGTAAACTTGCTTAAATGAATATATATTAAGAAATTCAAATATATAATTCTTTTGGCTCATAACAGATAGTGCATCTTTAAATCAAACCACTACGTTATACTGATTTAATATTTTTACGCTATTAAAGATTTGGGCCTGAAGACAAAATCGGTGTCTATGTTTTTGTATCTATAATGATTGTTAACTTTGTTGATATAAACTAAAGGTTACATGTTATGTAACGTAACATATGAAGGGTGGCTCTTCTTATGTTACGTTACCGTAATACCAAAGCTTCACCAAACAGTGCATCATACACCATCACAAACTAACGAACACAACGAACTACAGTATTTAAAACCTGTATAGTATTATTATTATTCCACTAACATAGACTGAATTGTTTCATTAACATCAATGAACTCGATAAAAAAACATAAAACAGAATGAAGATTACCGGGAGTAAAATATTAATCGTAGATTTATATGCTACAACGTTAATAGCAACATTTCAACTTTCAACAGTATTTCATTACACATAGCTACATCGCAGAGCAGACTTTCATATTACAAACGGGAACGTTGCAACATGAAAAGCAACACATTACAACATGAACAACAGTCATACATCGATACTTACACGCGTACATCACCGACTGCAACGTTGAAACACAGGCTGCAACTTCCCATTGCATATGTAATGTAATGTCCAGGTATTGCGTACCGCGCCTTTTATTTCCGGTGATACATAGCGCTAATGCCGGAAAAAATGATTAAAAGTGAATGTTTGTACAAAAATAATATTTAATATATATATATTTAATAATAAACAGCAACATTACACCACAGGCTCGTGAAGGCTGAAGCATTGGAACAAAGACTATAATCATGAAGGGTTTTACACAAATGCATCTAACAAAATTATTCAAGTTTCGTCAAAACACGTCACATTATGGTAGACCAAAACCGTAGCAGTAGGAATGGTTTTTGGTTTGAATACTGATTGGAGGCCTACAGTGTGTTTCCTTATCTAAAACTAAAATTCTGAAAAAAAATACTAATATAGTGAGGGGGTTTACCATGTAAACCTCTTGGTTGGATTTCCCCCCTCCTCTTCAGACAGGCCTTGACCCCTTCGTCTGACCAAATAACGTTATTTTGATTTCCAATCCATAATATAATTGTGGTCTAAAAGCACAATCTGGGCCACACTTATCCGAAAACTCTCCCCGTGAACCTTACTAGGGGTTTTTATTCCGGGACCATGTCCGATGCTCTAGTCGTCCTGCTGGTTTGGTGTCAGACCCCTAGCAAATTTCTGGAGCCACCACTACTGGCATCAAAATGCACCAAGTTTCTAAGATTCATCAAGAAATGTTGCATTCTGTGCGTTTAATGTTGAGATTTTAAATAATATTCCGCGTTATTAGTCACGTACACAAAATGGAACCAGTTTCAATAGTCTGATAAATGGCTCCTAGTATATTTTTAGTATAGTATAGTATATTTTTTATATTTACAGACTATGACAGTTACGTAACTTCCAATAGTGGAACTGTGAATGAACATACTATTACATCTGCTGTTAAGGGTGTTTCATCAACTTTGTCAACAGTAACCAACATGGATGAGTATAACACTGATAAATATAAAAACGTGACAGAGTCAGCACTGGAATCGGCATCTTCATTAGCATCACGCATTTCAATGTCATCATCGTCGTCGTCGTTATCATCATCATCTTCATCATCATTAACCAAACAAGTACCTGACCAACAAACAACAAATTTACAATCCAACTTTACATTTTTATCGACGAAAATGAATATTAATAGCCAACCATTTCCTACCACGGTAGACAGAGCTTCCAGTCTGCAAAATGAAAATGTTGATACTTCATATGATGAATCTGTTCCAACTGTACCAAGCGAAGTATTCATTTCAAAGAACATATATAAGACAGCAGACGATAATATATACAACTCTACATCATCATATAACATCATGACGTCACGTCTTGCAGTTCGATCCAAAATAAAAAGTATTAACAACAATGGTAATTATTACACACACTTGTAATTATATTAGAATAACATATAAGATTATTTTGGAGTCACCAGTGCTCCTTAAAATATGAAACATATATTATAATATACAAATGTTGGTAACACAGGCATCATTTGCCACTGTAATATAATTGACAACTCCAAAGTTCTATTACCTGTATTTTTCTAACCAAGTTTTGCACATATTTAGAAGTAAATTGAGAAAAGCATGATGGGATAAATGGAATCCCTCCTGTGTTAAACTGGGTTAAACCAAGGTAGGTCTTAAAATAATCCAATATTAGTATTTGTGAGCAATTACCTAGGGCGGATGTGGATTTGGCGGAAGGGAGTGCACGAGAATCCACACCACGTGGCTCACCATGGTTAGAGCTGAGGTTTGAAAATGTTGAGAATATGGACCATCAATTTATAATCCAATTTGATAATGTTTGCCCTATATATAAACCAATTGATGATTTTATCGATAGAATATTTGTTTTTGAAGAAGCTAGAATGAATTCGAGTGTGCCTACTATGTGTTTACATTATGATTACATTGCCCAAGTTCCTCCGGTATTTTCCAGGCCTGCCTTTGAACTTCTTAACCTAGGCTAGACCTAGGTAGGCATAGGGCTGATACACTGAGTATTACGCCTTCCTCATTTTAATCAGTAAATATTAGGTATCGGGTATAGGCTTTTTAATGATCACCACCATAAACTTAATATTAGTTCTGCTGAGACATGCATGCTAAAGCCTTTGCCTCCTGTCTAGACTATATGCCTACAGAGTTATCCGGGTACAGTTAAAAGTCCTTGCTATAAAATAAGGTTTCCATTACCTATACGACTAATTTGATAACCCATAGTAGACTGACTGCTATACACTACGAGGCACTTACCTGTAGGTCCTACTTCCAATACCCGACTAGAGGCGCTATTCAAACAATACATCGTCTAGATAGCCAAAACACCTGGAAGTTAACAGGCCTGGCACACAGCACACACATTGGCTGTATTTCCCCTATTGACGTCAAAGTTCATCATACAGCGCATGTCCACGGAGCGCTCGTTAGCCACTTCCAATGACTGACGGAACATCGTGTGCTAGTGTTCGATGTCAATAGGGGAAAAGCAGTCAACATGTGTGTTGTGTGCCAGGCCTGTTACTGTCTGCAGACGAGGAAAAGTTAGTATATCGGGTGCTATATTAATCCATCTCTTATTTCTAATCTGAATTATTTGTTAGCAGTGGGCACATCATCGTTAACGGTGCATTTATTTTATTTAACTGACATCTAGCTAATTTCTTACAGGCATTGGTGGTGTTACCATAGCTATGATATGTTTGTGTATATTGGGAGTTTTATCGTTCTTTATCGTTATTACCTTCATCATCAAAAAGAAAAGACATGATAGGCCTAAATTGGATACTAAACTTCATTCTTCAGTAAGTTTATAAATACGGTTTCTGCTGTTATTAATAAATTAACTAGTAATTGATTGCAGGGTATTTTTTATCTAATTCAATAACAAGTTGGTTACATAAAACAGTTATATTAAGTTCACTAATATAAAAAATGTAAAATAATATGTAAATCAAGTGTTTTATTTATAGAAACTCCTGATAATTTAAGTTTATACTTACTATATCTATACATACTAATTAGAATGAGTAAGTGCTTCTTATAGCCCTTGATCAATATGACATACATCTGCGACATATTTTTCTGATGATAAATAAAATTACTAAACAATAATAAACTAATATTCTTTCTCCGTAGAACCCTAGCGTATTAGACTTTGAAAACCCAGCATTTGAAATATTTGATTTGCAGAACCTGGATAAAGAATTGGTAGTGTCCAAATCTGAAGAAGGCCTTTCAAGCTGTGAATACGTCTAAAACTACAACAAAAGTTGTGAAACCTAATCAAGAAAAGATTGGGATTAGATAGTATAGCAAATTAATACTAAAACACTCTTTAAGTGTGTATTATATATTCAATTCTCATAATTAGGCCTATAACAAATTTATAGCAATTTAATGTTATACTGTATTTCATAATATATAAAAAAAAATCCCTGAAACATTTATTTAAAACACATTAATAACCTTTCAAAATAATATAAGATTAAGCTTAATTTACAATAATAAACTGATTGTTTTCCTCCGATTCATAAGCCATTTAATGAAAACATGTAAATTTATTACCAGCCAATACAAGGAATAAATTCGCCACATTGCGAACTCAACGTTCTCGCGCATGCGCAGATGACTTCTTAGTGTGTCATTAGATGCTAGGTCCTACCGTCCAATCGGAAGCTTCCTATTATTTACCAACAAAGCTCAGCACAGACGGTGTATCTTTAAGTACACATTATTAGAATGATTTTTCTATGGTATGCATTCGAATATGTTAATTGAATATCTTGCTTTGTTATCTAGTTTGGTATATAAATTTATTTTTAAATTCCGAAGTAGAAGTTCAGTAATAAAAATTCAGTACTGTGAACTTATAGGCTCAATATATTAAGATATAACATCTCTTTAACTTATTAATCACCTCAATGCAAAACATTGACATACAAGATTATTTCATCATTTTTCTTTACAAAAATACGGTGGTTGGGAGGATATACTCATCGAAATATTTAAATATATAGCAAAAAATGAAGAAAATACTAGTCACTTAAATTGCACCAGCCTGTTAATTCTACAAATTATTAAATAGATGAATAGATTATATCTGTAATTGTTTCAAATGTCTTATTTACGGTATTTTTTAAATGTATTTTCCAGAATTAATTATTACAAATCAAATCAAATCATCAAAACATTTATTTCATCATACTACTGTACACAAAATACAAGGCATGGATGAGGACCAACCTACAGCCTCGTACCTTACCCTCCCACGTTGCACATGGACGCATGCCTGTATATGATATGATATCATGCAGATATCACTGTGACAATTATAGTCAATTTAAGAAGAGATAAATATTAACCGAGAGAGACGGGTTGTTTGCATTTGACTTTACTCGTCTATTTGCATCGACACAATGGGAAGTACTCCGATGTATTCTCTGCTGGCACTGTTTTTCTTCTTGTGCACTGACACGACGGGACTCTCAACTCAACGACGACTAAGTTAGGTTATTCTGATTTATTATTCATATAAGCATTTAAACACAATTATACAATGTTGAATTTAAATAAGGGTATTTTCTCGAAAGAGTCAGGACTGATGGTACTGTATTTTCAAGAAACGTTGAATTTTAATGCACCTATTTCCAGACTTGAGAGAGTAGATAACCTATCGTTAAATACAAGTAGGGCCTACTTGTTGCCATATTGGTATATAGAATTGAATTAGTTTTATAAATCCGGCATACCTATAGTATATACATGTATTTTAAACAATATTTGCATACCTTTTACGTCCGATTTCCCCTGTTATATTGCTCTATAACCTTTATTTTTGCTTTTGGTCTATATTGAGAATACGTGCACCAAACGGACATCCCAATTAATGAATATGAAAACAATGTTTTGATAATATAATTTTCTGTTCATGTATTGCCCATTATATATAGTAGGCAATTATTTTATAGAATAATGCTGTTACTTCTTTAGTGTTCCAAATAAGACAACTTTTAATTGTGAAAAATGTATTATCTAGGATAACAGCCACGTATTAATTATATAAATACAGATTCTATCGTGGTGCTGTCTTCTTTCTCACATTAGTTATTAGTAACATATATTCATCCCAGCTTTTATACATTATGACGCATACCTCTATCTAGTAGACGATTTTATTATTGTGTTCAATGTTCACTGGAGCCGAATATTTGCTTCCAATTCCCCACCAGGTGAATATGGCGCAGATAGCAGCAAAGTGTCCTTGAGCGGGCTATCGTCAGGGGCATACATGGCTGTACAATTTCATGTCGCTTATTCGAAAAGTATTATGGGAGCTGGAATAGTTGCAGGAGGTAAGTGGCTATATTATGTTGAATATATATAACTCGACCAACGAGGATTAATAATTTAAACTAGTGTAGTTATTATTAATAATCATCATCATTATCATCGTCATGAACATCACTATTTTCGTCATCATCATGATCATCATCTTCATCCTCATTCTTTAGCATCATTATTAGGCTTATTATTGCAATTAATAGGCGTGACTCGGGTCTAACGCCTATCATTATTATCATTAATAGTATAAAATGCTTATATGTATATTATTATGCACATTATATTTATAGAGAGAGTGTTTATTTTGAGGACTATAGCTCGAATTTGAATATTCCATATTATTGTGCTTGAATATAATAATATAAAAAAATAAATGAAACTAGTGGGTGTATTGTTGTAATAATTTTGTAAATTCTTTAAACCAAAAATATCACGACAATTATTTGCATTTCAGTATCTGTAAATAGGCCTATATACTGTACAAACAGGAGGTGGGTGCTGGTACGACTGACAGTATAACAAGCATTCAAATTAATATTTAGGTGTGTGCCCTCATTACTATCAACAGTTTGTTAATAATTTTTAAGGCCCGTTCTACTGTGCAGAAGCTAATGTTGTGAAGGCACTTGGAGCGTGCATGACAAGCCCTGAAAAAATAGATGTCGGCTTTTTAACTCAAGTTACGAAGAACACAGTGATTACTGGTACAATTGACGCTACGTCCAACATGGAGGACGACATGGTCTTCTTGATAAGCGGTACACGGGACAGCACTGTAAAACAAGGTGAGTAAATATAATTATAAATGTTTGAAAGAAAACAATAAATATTGAGCAATTCGAATACTAGGCCTATATTGATTTTGTATAACTTGATATTAATATACCTATGACGCTATAGTTCATGAATATCATGATTTGTTCTTTTATCATAGGAGTGATGAAGAAACTCAAGGAATACTATGAAAACTTTGTCGATGTTCCAAATATAAAATGTGAATTTAGTTTACCTGCAGAACATGCCTTTGTAAGTTGTTAGGAACCTTATGTAGGTTTAATAATAATGATAGTAATAATAATAATAATAATAATAATAATAAATATTATTAATAATAATAATAAATTATATTTATGATTATAATTATAATAATAGTGATAATAATAATAATAAAATAATAATAATAATAATGATAATAATGATAATAATGATAATAATAATAATAATAATAATAATAATAAGTATTATTATTATTATTATTATTATTATTATTATTATTATTATTATTATTATTATTATTATTATTATCATCATCAGCTTAACGACAAATAATGCCAACGCTCTGTCAATTCCAGGTTGTACGCCGCAATTTACATAGGCTTATTATTGTAATTATGAGACCATATGAAAACAATGTGTTGTTCCAGTCTATATTTATATTGTAGGTAACAGAAACATACGGGAATTCGTGTGGACATAATGGTTCACCATTTATTAATGACTGCGACTATGATAGCGCTTTCCATATGTTGAATCACATCTACAGAGGCGTGTCAAAACCAAGCTCACATGTTGTTCTCACGGGCGATGTAAGTAAACAATGTTGCTGGGCACGTACGACCGTCGGCCGACGAATACAACTTCGCTCCATGTGAGCGCTAGACGACGTCACGACGTCTACTGATTGTCGGTGGCAGTCGTCATTATTAAATTATTATTTATTATTAAAAATGATCAGTTGTGCACGCGTTTTGGCGTTGTGTTCTTCACAAAATCGCGTGGGCAGACGACCGTCGGGCGCAGTGAGTGGCCGGCTCAACTTTAATTACATTATTTAGTGTAGTTATCTTTGTTTCTAATATCTATGCTAATAAGTATCTAATATGATATGATTACATCCGTTGACGATTAATTTTGACGCCTTTTTCTAACCAGTTTATCGAATTTGACCAATCGGAATTCCTGCCAATGTCGGCACCGGGGCAATTTGGTATGGCTTCGTCTGGTTATATCTATGTGCCATATGCCTGCAAACACAGTCCGTCAGGTAGATAATGTCGTTGGTTTGACAGTCCGATAGGCCTATCCATATCTTTAGTATTATTTTACATGTTAGATTCATGTTGAACTAGTAAGTAACAGCAGGAGTCTCCAGATTCATTTTAGCTATCCGCAATAAATTGAATTTATGAAATCCTGTAAAACATATAACATATTTCATACTTAGGCATCTATTTAAGTTGTTAGATTTAAACCCATGCAACTAAACAAACTGGAATGCCCACTCACAGTCACTAAGTCCTTCAAACAAACTATTCACCAAATTCACTTCGGCTTATTAGGCCTCAGTATTTTGATTTTTTTTTTTAAATTTAAACAAAATGATAAATACTGAACAATTTACGTCAATGAACAATGTCAACTCTTTTTCAACAGCATGTAAGCTACATGTGGTTTTCCATGGTTGCAAACAAGGCATGTAAGTTTATGTTATCAACAAAAAACATTTATTTTAAGACGTATTGTTTGATATTGTATTTGCGCCCTCTAATTCATGCTTGCATTTCTGTTAAAATCCTCAGCATTTATTGAGGCCGCCTACTATTTCTAATAATATAATTTACAGAAACCGTTTAGGTGACGAATACGCCTTGAATACCGGTTACAATGAGATTGCAGACGAGAATGGTATCATTATACTTTACCCACAAGCAACAGCCAGTGCCGGAAATACGAATGGATGCTGGGATTGGTGAGGGAAACATGTTTAAAATTAAAATAATTTAAAGAATAATGAAATATGAAATGATTACAAAACAGCACCTGCAGACAAATACGGAAGTTAATATTATTATTATTATTATTATTATTATTATTATTATTATTATTATTGACTGATTTTTCGAATAATTTCACATTATTAGTGAATTATTCACATATTCCAAAGACTACTGAATTGTATTCATATTTTTATAAATTTCTCACCGGATTAGCCATTAAAATACACTGGTCGTCAGTGAAATGATATCATAAACAAGATTCAAAATTGTATTACACTACACTACTACCGAAAGGTCCACTGATTAATATCAGATAAGACAGTATAATACATACTCCAAGTATTGGAATACACGCCACGCCATCGTGTTCAATATTTTGACATTAATTATGTCATCAGTAATAAAAAAAATAATAATATCCAAAGTCTTATTTACAAGCTTCAACAAATACCAAAAGTGTCTACACACAACTACTTTCATTTTAATTAAAGGCGCTTTGAAGTTTCTGTATTATTATTGTCAGTATTATCAGGGAACAGTGAAATTACACTGTTCCCTGGTATTATCAATTTCAATAGTGGATTTTATTGTACCGTCTTGTTTGACAATTTAAAAAAAGAATAAGAATAAACTTTTATCTGAATTAAGGCTATGATTCTTATTTTTTGCATCCGCAGGTGGGGCTACACAGGACTACAATATGGTATGAACATCGAAAATACGTTACAATATTAAAGATAGGGTCCCTAAAAAGAAATAACATAACTAAAAATAGGCATTCTGTCTATTTCAATTAAACAAAAAACACAATATTGATTGCCTCTTGTATGGTGAGTGTTTAATGGAATATAAGAAGATATGTTCTTACTAAATAATGGACACGTTATATGCGTTCCTATATTATTCACATAGATCTTACATTAACTAGTAGTAATTTTAAAAGTTTTTGTTGTAAACATTTTACGAATTAATAAAAATATTGATAGTTTCGATATTCGGACGTTGATAACTTACTTCATCCTTTTAAAAGAGGATTTCAATTTCTTTATAAATTTTGGTTTTGTTAGGATTATCCGGATTTTAGGAATATGTCGCATAGTGACTGAACAGTGTCGATTGTTTTTTCAGCATGCAAGCTAGGCCCTCAGATGAATGCTGTAAACCAAATGATAAACCGCATACTATCCTAACATAATCCTTCTCACGTAAGTCTTTCATCTTGTAACCATATACCACGTATACATGGTAGGCCTATACAGTATACTTAAACGCATTCGAGGCAATGTAAAAGCACTATAATTGCCGTGTAAGACTGCACTTTGTAGGTTTTTGTTTCTTTTGTTAATGCCATCAAATCTACAGTGAATTAATCTCATTACACATTAATGTCTGACTGCTTTGATATTTAAACTCACGTTTTGTGGATGATAAGTTTGGTAATCGTCATTTCTTTTTACAATTATCGACAATTTCATTTGTGTAGATGACAATATTTTCTCATAATCTGACTGCTTCATATACCCAAAAATGTTACAAATTTTCTCCGGGGATATATTATTCTAACACAGATAGTTTTTTTTTTATTCATCCATCATGAAACTCAAGTTCAGATTAAAGGAGTCTAAGAAGTTTTTTTAATCGATATTTGCTAAACTGGCGTCGAAGTTTCGTAGCAGACATTATTCTAGGCCTATTTTACAAAAAAAAAAAAAAAAAAAAAAAAAAAAAAAAAAAAAAAAAAAAAAAAAAAAAAAAAAAAAAAAAAAAAAAAAAAAAAAAAAAAAAAAAAAAAAAAAAAAACCAAAACAAAACAAAACAAAAAACAAAAACAAAAACAAAATTAAACAAAAAAAAGGCCTGGCTTTCTTGGATAAAGTATCAAAACAGACACATGGGAGTCTTTAGACTGTTTCATATCCCCCCTCCCCCACGATTGAACTGTTACAAGCACGATTTTCATCCATACATTTATCATCCTAACACTGATCTTTTTTCTAACTCTTCCATTAGATGAAAGTCGAGTTCATATATTTAGTGGCGTCAAGAGTAGTTTTTAATCAATTATTTGCTAAATTTACGTCGAGTGTGGAACTTTTGCAGCAAGCTGTTTATTTTCCTGGATGAACAAGCAAACTGAAACGACGTGAAAGTCTTGATATACCAATTACGTTTCAACTATAAACTTAGTACCTATAGCGTATATAAGTCTGCATTATATATAGTAATGCTGGCGCTATTTAAGTTTGTCAAATCAGCCGATCATAGGTACTGTAGGCCGCCTACTCGGGAATTCTGAATGTCTTTATGCGAACTTAAGTTTATTTAATCCTAATGAAAGTTGTTCAGTAATTAACATTTATGATTAATTAAAGAGTTCAATGAATATTATTATTTTTTGAAGATTATTTCACCACAACACAACGAGATATATCATCATCATCATCATCATCATCATCATCATCATCATCATTATCATCATCATCATCATCATCACCGTTACCATCATCATCAACAACAACATCACCATCATCATCATAATCGTCATCATCAACATCATCATCAACAACATCACCGCCACCACCATCACCATCATCACCGCCATCATCATTATTATCATCATCAACATCACCGTCATTATCATCTTTCGGCTGCTGCCTCTGGGCACAGTTTCACGCCACTGATCTTTATTCATAAGAGCTTCACTAAGTTCTTCTATTGTCAGTCATGTATTTACGGATAAACAAGCTTGACAGGGTAGCCTCTACATCTATTCTATTATTGTGTAAGTTTGAAAACTACTTCCAAATGGGATAAATCTGAATTATTTTCCCCAAAGCAAATTTAGTACCATTAGTGATGCACGGTATTTTGCCAATTTAATTCAGTTCACAGTATTTCTTAAGTTTTGATTTACTTTACACACACACACTCACCCCCACACACACACATTCTTCTTCTTCTATAGGCTACCGCTTACTCAACACCCTATTAGTGGCTTCACACTTTACAATGCGATTCTTTATTGTAATGGAATATTTGATATTTTGTGACCATATTATTTAAAACTTGTTTTTACTCTTAATATCACTGTTATTTACGCACAGCGCCTTCGTCATCCTTACATAAACAAGTTCTTGTCGTCACCCTTACATAAACAAGTTCCTGAAACGAAAGAGCTATATTGTTATGCTATCCCACAAAAACATAATGTACCGCAATAGTTATTTTATTCGTTCTTATCAGGTTCTTCAGTTGTAGAGAACCTTTAAAATTACTTATTATTGCAGTTATTTCAAACATTTTTATTGGGAACATCTTTATAATAAAAAAAAGTTTATCATTTTTAATAATTTAATTTAAATCATTATGATAATTGGGTAATGTTTTGTGGATAATAACTAAGCAAAGCAATAAAATTTAGCAAAAACAATATCAATGGCATTGATAATGACGGTGACAATGACAATACCAACGATGGCGACGAAGGCAACGGTGACAGTGGTGGTGGCGACAAATAGTGACGGTGACAACCAAACCATAATATACGTTTAATGATAATAGAACAGAACATACAAAAATAGAGAACGCAAATATTATAATAAGCAACTAACAAAGGAATGTTAATATTGATAGTCAGAGACAATGTACGGCTTATGGGTCGGATGGATCACCATTGTTAAATAATCAGTGTTACGGTACTGCTCAGTTTTACTGAACATCTTAATGTTGTAAGGGCTCGACTAATAATACGTAAAACTTGATTGGTTTGCTTTGGATCACATTGTGTGATGGTGTTGATTACGAGTCTGCGACAATGTTTCATAGTCGTTGTGTCGCAGACTCCTCGTCGCTGATATTTCGACACCGTGTTATGCACTTTTCAACTCAAAAGTCTTACGTTTCGTGTAAGAATTTATCATTTTAAGATAACTGTATCATTGACTAAAATAATTGTGATATATTTTATTAAACAAAAGAATACGGCTCTAGTAATAGATAAGCATGGATACTATACGCAATGGACTCTCCTCTTAGAACAGTTAAACCTAAAGTGGATAACGCGACACCCCTAGTCAAATAAACAAACTATAAATAAATTAATATACGTGTGCTAAAACATTAATAGGCATGTAGTACGAATAGGCAGTAGTACGAATACGAATAGGCCAATAGTCCGAATTAGCTTTTTTATGTACAAAATTATATCTCCAGTCCCGTCCCTTAGATCCTGTTGATAATGTCTTACAAAAATCACCTGGGAGGATGCAAACAACAACAACAACAATAATAATAATAATAATAATAATAATAATAATAATAAATAAATAATAAATAATAAATAATAATAATAATAATAATAATAATAATAATAATAATAATAATTGAATATTTGTATAGCGCCAATTCCAAATTATATGATAAAAGGCAATACCATAATCATAACAGAGAAAAAGAAGAAAACAATATCATCTTCAAAGTCTATGCATAGGCAAATTTAATATAATCCAAACAAAATAATTTAGAAAAACACACGATATCCGGAAATGCTGACAATTACAAAGCACCTCTTTGCTGGGACTGAATTGACTCTCACGACTGTGATATCGTCTGCTTTGCCAGACAACTTGATAGATTCAATTCAATTCGTTGAAGTAAGCTATACCGTATTGAATAGATGAATTTGTAATGATAATTTATAAATGTGTCTGATATTTATCTGATATTTGATCCATATGATCTTTTCTTTGTTTTATATAGTAATGTATGTATGCTTTGTAAACATTTTTTGCAGTTAAATTGTCATTAATTGGTGAATGAGGGTATTAATCGTTAGGCATATTTTTTTTATTTTATTATTTATCCTTGAACATTCTATTAATTTATATTCATTAATTACAGTAGGCCTACTCAGTTTTATATGGTCGATTAGATATTAACAAAGGCATGGATTTAGATTTTTTAGTTTCTTGCATTTGAATACATCAACATATATTTTAATATGCAAAAAAAAAAAAAATATGTGAGTTTTTAGTAACTTGTAATTAAGTGGTTTTTTTTTGTTTTTTTTGTTTTTGTTTTTTTTGTGTATTGTTTTGTATTTAATATATTGCGCATATGGTATTTATCTGGGTTAAATGCTGTAAAAACCAGGATTGTTTTCTCACTACTGAACACATGTCCACTCCTTTAACCTCATTACACTAAGCGTCATAAAGTGTATCCCGTCATCTGTATAAATGACGAATTACTCGTTGTTAAGTGTGAGAATGAAGAAAAACTATTGTCATTATAACCGAACACAAATTAAGAACGATCAAAGCGTGTAGTTGGCTCCATCTGACATAATACCTTTGCACTTAAGCAGTATGCTAGACATCATTCGATTAACACTGGATATCTCACGTACAAGCAACTTAATCTTTTACAGCTCCCTGATCGACAAGCGTTCGTACACGACAACTTGCCAGCCTGCATATCCTGACTCTAATGTATATATTTAAATCGATACGTATCCTGCTTATTTTGTGTTATGTTATGCTTTAAACAATTTGAATATAGGTAGCCTAAGGACATACTGTATCCCAAACACGGCAACTCGCTGGCAACCTACAATAAGCACATTACACGGCAGATATTTTCTAATGCTAACTGATTGCATTAGATGCTATGAAATATAATACTAATAAACTATATAAAAAAAAAGTTCTGTCTTCCCATAAGCTGTATTATTATTATTATTGTCTAATGTCGAATGATATGAGTTCTATATGGAGAATGGATTTTCTGTGTTAGAGATCGTAGGCTTAATTAAGTCAAAGTCAAGTAAGCCCAAACCTGGCCCTGACCACTAACAAACGCCATCCGAATAAAATCCTTTAAAGCCTTTGGACTGTTGATATGACATCCGGATTCACCTTAAAGTGGACTTACAAGGGATCCAGAAAACATCTACGGTATTAGAAAGTTGCTGCAGTTCAGTCTGCCAGTCACTACAGAGGTGCGCACACACAATAACATTGTATCATAGAACTTCATCGGGGAATTAGCGTCCACCAACAGATCACCAATTTTAAAGACGAAGGTAGGCATATTTCATGCATCTTATTTTAAGTTGATTAAAAACAAAATGCATCTTTTGGAAAACGTAGGGGTTTCCTGGTGCTCTGGGCCTCTCCTTCTGATCTGGAAGCATGTTACAATACCTATATGAAATTGACAACTATCAGTACTGGAGGTAGGCTTCCAAATATTGCATATTAATTAAAGCTTTATTATGACTTTTTGCTGTATAGTCCGTTAGACCAGTTGATGAATAATTCAACCTGTAAATAACAATGACATTTTTTAAAAACAAAACTATTCTTGAAAGTGGCATTAACGGGAATGGAGCTTTTCAGAGTGTCAATCAAAATTTATACGGTAACTGACCAATCAGAACAGGGTCAAGAATACTGTACTCGCGCGAATAAACGCCCGGGCGCTTAAAATATTTTTTTTTTTGCACTTTTTGAGGGGCACTTATTCAAACGGGGCGCTTATCAAAACAGAGTGGAAATTGAAGAGGCGCTTATGGAAATAGATGAAAATCGAGGGGTTCTTATGAGAACTTGTTAAATTGAAGAGGCACATTTTGAATGAAAAACGATTATATAAGGACATCGGGAAACCGCAAATTACGAATGGTGGTGCGGCGGAAAAGATAATCGTCCAGACAGCATGGCTTTTTATGACAAGAATGTTGTGAGTACAGTATTACATAACAGCAGAATAGCAGATGAAATTAGTGGTGGTGGTTAGCTTGTTGGCCATCGGCCGATTGAGATTAGCAGGATGGCATGATCACTGCAGGTTTTCTTGAAAACTCAGATGAGAATGTGTTAGGTGTAAATTGTCGGAAAAGCAGTAGGACTAGGCTATAGAAAAATGTAAGAAGATGAAAATTGGAAATATACTGTCTGTCCAGGGAGCTCTCATCTGTCCAAGATAAATATCCTCTTTTTGATATTGACTAAAGGAGAATGTGATTCCACTCCACACCTCAAATCCCAATATCCACAGTCCAGGATTGATTGAATTATTGAGGGGGCGTTCAAATTAGAAGTGGGTGCTTATTCAAAACGGGACGCTTAAGGAAATTTTCACGTTTATTTATATGCGCTTATTCGAGAAGGGCGCTTATTCAAAACGGAGCGCTTATTCGCCCGAGTACGGTACAAACTCACGTGTTGTCCCACAAACGCACGTGCGTATGTTTTAACACTGTCGTTTTGTGAACCCTTTATCAACAATATCCAAGGGACAGGGCTTAGCGAAAAGTCCATTGAAACGGTCAGCGCACTTTCAAATGGTCAGCGCGGCGAGTTTAGCTGTATGATGACTCATGCCACGAGCTGCATACAAACCAATCATCATCAGATAAACAGCTCATAATTCTAAAATAATTTTCCCAAAGGCATAAGAATGATGAATACGGACGTGCTAGAGTAGTGACAAGAAAATGCATTTACGTTGAATGGGGACTCTTAATGG